GAGAGAGAGAGAGAGAGAGAGAGAGAGAGAGAGAGAGAGAGAGAGAGAGAGAGAGAGAGAGAGAGAGAGAGAGAGAGAGAGAGAGAGAGAGAGAGAGAGAGAGAGAGAGAGAGAGAGAGAGAGAGAGAGAGAGAGAGAGAGAGAGAGAGAGAGAGAGAGAGAGAGAGAGAGAGAGAGAGAGAGAGAGAGAGAGAGAGAGAGAGAGAGAGAGAGAGAGAGAGAGAGAGAGAGAGAGAGAGAGAGTAACCAAATCTGGATCTTTTCAAGATAGAAATGATAGAGCAGGTGCACTAAAGAAGCCTTCACTGAATGGATTCTGCAGAGAACTACAATTCATCATGTTGATCGACCATATAGAAGGGAGGTCATCCAACTCTGTAATCTTGACCAATTTTTGGCAATTCTCAAGTTCAATAATCGCAAGATTCTCTAAATTTGATACTGACGGGAGTGTTTGAAGATTCTCACAGTCATTCAAACACAACTCCTTCAATAATCGTAACTTAGAAAAATCAATAGGTAGACAATGGAAATTGTTCCCACTCAAATCTAAATATTCTAAGGAGGATAAGCTCCCAATATCCCTAGGAATATCAGCCTCGGACAAATTCCAGTACGTAAGGCTCAAATCGGATACAAAAGTTGACAAGGAATATTGTATCCGATGGACTCCTCTTCCACACTCAAAGTTTCAAGATTTCTTAGCATTTCAACAGATCTAGGCAATTGTTTTATACTCGTATCATATGCATCAAGAGAACTTAGACTTTTCATATCTCCAAGGTTATCTGGCAGTGTTTTTATAGATGGGCAGCCATCAATGTCCAAGTCTTCAAGGGATTTTAGCTGGCATATGCTGCTTGGAAGATCCATAATCTTTTTGCAATTAGACATATCTAGTTTAATTAGTCTGCCCAAATTTACTATTGATGGATGGATCTCTGTTAGACTTGAGCAACTACCAAGGGACAAATTCCCAAGACTCAATGAACCATTTAAGTTTGGAGTGCTTCTGAGTTGCTTGCAACAAGAGAGATCCAACTTCTATAACACTAAAAGTAAACCAAATATAGTTTCAATTAACATTTTCTTTCACTCGGTGGCAAACAGTACACATGAAATTGTTAAATTGAGTAACAAACCTGCAAATTCAATTGAAATTCTTAGATATCACTCTCCCGCATATTTAGAACTACAAGATTCTCAACTGGAAAATTTGATGGTATACATTTTAAAGGAAATTTTTTCCAAGACAACCATCTGAGCTCCTTGGACAACAACTCAAAATCTCCACTAATATGTAACTTATCCATTATAAGAACCCTAAGGGTTTTCTTTTTCTTAAATGCTTTGGTGCTCAAGTTCACTCCCCTAAATTCTCGTCGATCTACCTTCAGTACTTCTACCTTTTTGGAACCCTGTAGTTCGATGGAAAGATTAGTATCTTAAGACCATCTTAAGTCCCACATATTAAGAGGGAAAAATGTTTTATACCAATTGAAGGTCAAACAAAGAAGTTACACCATATGTATCAAGAAAAATGAACTTACACATCAGAGGATGTTAAAAAAAATGTAAAATTACTCAGAAAGCTAAGATGAGAGTCTTTCTAAAACTAGCTAGCACCATTCAATAAATTCGCATGATAATATGGGCAAAAACATAAATAAAGAGAACAAATTGCATCCTGAAGCCTGGTAATAGTATCAATTAAAGATAGAATATATATTATATTATATTCAAAAGAATAATTTGTATATATTGTTCTAGAAATAATAACATAAATGTTCCACATATGTACCTATTCAACTATTTTCAAAAGCGCACATGCCTAATTTCTTCGAGAGCAAACTTAATTTCTGCAATTAGGTAAGATAGAAAGTCAGTAAGAACATAATTAAACAAAAAAAAAATGATGAATTGAGAAAAAAGAAGATAAATTCAAACATCTTTCAATAACTAATCTTGGAGATAATATGGTCTATGCCCACAATTATGTGTTCATTATATAAATATTATTATATAATTGTGTGAGTATCCAAATCAATTAGTATAAAATTTTAAAATATTGCAATATATATATATATATATATATATATATATATATATATATGTATATATATATATATATATATACTAGTTTTTGGACATACGCATTGCGCGTGTATCCATATCAATTAGTATAAATTTTTAAAATATTGCATAAATATTATTAAAATATATATTTGAGTCATAAAATAAAAATTCAAGGAAAAATTATAAGCACTATTAATATGGATCCTCTTTAGCTAAATATATAAAGGAAGATGGTAGAGATGAGTGATGGATCCCCAAATACTCACAACTAATGATGAATCCACATTGCAATTGCAACTTAGACTCCAACTGCTAGAGCATGTTATTCTTGAAATATAATCGTATGTATAAATGCTAGAATTTCTTCAGAATTTTAGAAATTTTTGTAATGATATGAAAATGGAGATGATAAACAAATGAATTTCAATTTGCAACATAAACAAGTAGCAAGAAAAATAGCAAACAATTGCTGGTGCATTCTGAAAATTCACACACGTTCAAAATCATGAATACATATGAAAAAGATCCTTCAAAACCTTACACAAGGAAATAGTAGCATAAGGCTTCAACAATAAAATAGACCATGAGAACAATTCAAAATTGTAATGGCAATGCAACAATTACAAAAAAGGACAAAAACGACTTAGGATTACTGAGGACATGGCCCTTAACAGGGAATTGTGGAGGTCGAGCATTAAGGTTGTAGGTTAGGGGGAAGTTGTGAATATTTCTACAGCGCACTAGAGTGAGACTAGCCAGTTAGGAGTTAGTCGTAGATGCTTCTGATCAGCTACTGATGCTGGGCTTTATCTGTTGGTTATTAGTATACTTTCCACCCTTTTCGTATTTCCTATATTTCTTATACTGCTGTTATTTTGTTATTTTATGTTATGTTATGTATTCTATGTTATTTTATATTGAGTCTATTGATAGTACTAATATATCGTCCCTTGTTGCTTTCTTGAGCCGAGGGTCTCCCGGAAACAGCCTCTCTGCCCCTCGGGGTAGGGGTAAGGTCTGCGTACATATTACCCTCCCCAGACCCCACTTGTGGGATTATACTGGGTTGTTGTTGTTGTTGTTGTTGACAAAAACGACAGTGAGCAGTTTGAACGAAAGCTGCCAAACTTAAGCCTGCAAGTTGTTAATATGAAGAAAAGATAAAAATAAAAAGTTTTATACCCTAGAAATCTGCTGTACTGAGATGCAAATCCATTTACCATATTAGATAAAGGTAGATTGATTTTTATTTATAGTTGAGGAGAACTCTATGGCCACTTATCATCTCTGTGCATATCTCCAACCACCGACGATAGAACTTTTCAAGTTACCAAGGCATTTATCACTAAAAAAATGTATTTATAGGCCAAGAATCACATCTAAAGTAATCTAAGAAATTAAACAGTCAAGTTTTAGGAAATAAGAAGTTAAATAATCAGTAACGTATACGCTTTACATGCATCCCCATCAAAATAATACTAATTGACAACTATTAATGCAATTAATTAGTCTCTTCATTTTTTTCTCGCGTAGTCACAAATTTTGGTGGGTATATCTACAAATTACGTGGTTAAAATAATAAATAATGATAGCTAAGAAGAAAGACTTTAGGTGAAGGGTAATTTGGTCAATTAACTTTTGAAGAATATTTTGGTAAAATAAGTTTACCTAAAAGTCTTCACACTTATAATATATAT